GAAGAAATTCCCACTTTTATCTCTTTGTGTCTTCTCCTTCTAATGCCTGGCCTTCCATCAGACTCGACATTTGAGCCAGAAAGTGGGCCTTGTGTCTTAAAACAGGGCATCTCTACTGATGACAAAGACCTGTGTGCAGCAGTGATTGTTATGTGATTGGTGGCTTCAGAAGGGATGCTTGCTGCTGCTCGTAAGGAGGGGAAAGGCCTCGACATTACCCTAGTCTTTTACCGTAGAGGAGAGGGGTTTGAAGGCCAAGACCCAAGTGGCCACCTCCTCTGGAAGCGGCACAAAGGGCAGCACGGAACAAGCGTGCCCCTTCCTTGCCTCCCTTCTGTCTTTTGAGCCCTGAAATGGCCCTTGAGTATCATGTTCTTCTCCACCCCCCCACCCCGCCCAAATCCATCTGTAACCAATTGCAGATGGGGATATAATGAAGGGCTGGGCTCTAGACACTGACCCACAGGGCCCCAGGAAGGCTGGATTATGTGCCTCCTCTCCCCTTTCTGGAGACTCTCAGATGGCTGTCAGCTAGGCTGTGTCAACAACAGGAGGTCAGAGCAATGCTTGATGCTATCGTGAGACGTCTCCAGACTTAAGACACTCATGGAACAAGACTCTGCCCTCACGTTTTGGCTGCCACCATTGCACCAAGCAGCTTTTTTCAAGGTGCCAATGATGCCACTTTGCTAAGCCTGATGATGAGTTCCCTGTGCTCACCTTGCCTTCTCAGCAGCACTGCCCGCTTCTTTGCCTTTCCTCCAGTCTCTCTGCCATACCTTTCTAATCCTCCTCTGCTGGTTCTTTATCATCAACCCTGCCTCCAAACTTCACTTGCCCATGTTATTAGACTTCATCTAACTTCTGTCTATACTACTCCCTAAGTGATCTCATCCAGACAAACAGGTTTAAATACCTCCTATACGTTGTTGACTTCTCAAATTACAATTCTGTTCCAGACCTCTCCCCTGGACTCAGATGAATTCCGAATTGCCTACTCACCATCTGCATTTGGATATCACATAGGCATTTCAAACATACAGGTCCAAGAAGGTGTTCCTGATATTCCTGCCTGGCACCAATTCCTCTCAGTCTTTATATCAGTAAACGAGGATTCCACTCTTATTGCTGTTTGGCACAATCGCTTTGCAATCTGCCTGACATCTCTCTTTCACATTCTATATCTGATACATCAAAAAATGATGGAGCCTGACTGTATCAGCCTCATTGTCACCAGGACAAGGTGCCACCATATCTTGAGGCAGGAGCCTTCTCCCAGGCTCCCTGCTTTGCCCTTGCCCACCTCCATTCCATTTCACATGAGGCCAGCCAGGGGGCTCCTGTTAAACATCTGTCAAGTTATGTCACTGCTTAGCTCAAAACCTCCAGTGGCTTCTTAGCTCACTCCTAGTTAAAGTCCAAGTTCTTACAGTGATTTTAACTATCTACTTCCTGGTTACCTTGGACCTCATGGCCTACCTGTCTCCCTCTCATTCACTCATCTCCAATCACATTAGCCTCCTCTCTGTTCCTCAAATATGTCAACCATGCTCCTTCCTTGAGGCCTTTCCATGGGCTGTTCCCAGAATGCTCTTTTCCCAAATATTTATATGGTTCATGTCCTTATTGCCTTTAAGTCTTTATTCAAATGTCATCTTCTCAGTGAGTTATTTCTTGATCACCTCATCTAAATTATAATCTCTCAACACTTCTGTCCCCTTTTCACTGTTTCAACTTTCTTTGTGGTACTTATCACTTTCTGACCTGCTATTTAATTTTCTGTCTGCCTCCCCACGAGAAGATAAGTTCCAAGAGGGTAGAGATTTTTGACTACTTTGCTCATTGCTGTATTTGCAGCACAGAGTCTGGCACAGAGCAGACCTGTAATTGGTGGATGGGTGAGTGGAAGAATGGATGAACTGCAATATATAATTGTATATAATTTACTGGCCACATCATTCACTCTAATTCAGGGGTACCCGATCCTCAGGCTGCGGACTGGTACCGGTCCATGACCTGTCAGGAACCGGGCTGCACAGCAGGAGGTGAGCGGTGAGCAAGCAAAGATTCATCTGTATTTGCAGCCGCTCCCCAGCACTAGCATCGCTGCCTCAGCTCCACCTCAGATCATCAGGCATTAGATTCTCATAGGAGCACCGGTCCCTGGTGCCAAAAAGGTTGGGGACCTATGTTTTAGCAATTTCAAAGGCTAAGATACTACTTTAATTGAAACATATGTAATTTATAGCAGCATTTCTCCTCTTGTATTTGTTTCAAAGGGCAAACTATGAAGTTCTGAAGACAAGAATACAGTTTCTGAGCCATAAACTTGCATTTTCTGCAAATTTATTAGGTCGTCAATTCCCTAATAATTTAATCACAACAACTGCTTTTAACTGGACTTCCCCAATAGACACAGTCCTTTGGGCTCATTTCCTGGTTCCATTACTAAATCTCTCACATTCATTTCATTACACATGTCTAGTTTACTATATATCTTGCTTTTTTATATACTCATTCCCTTGCCCCATCTCCCTAGAACTGTTCTACCACCATTAGCACAACTGAAGGAGGCAGGCTCCCATCCTAGTCTCCTAGGACAAGGCTTGCTGAGGACAAGAAGCAAACACCAAAGCTCCTCCAGCCAGCAGGAAAGTATAGGTGGAAGGAACAACAGTCTCTAGAGTCTGATTTTATCCATATTTGGGCTTATGAAAATCTTGGCAGAGGTTCTGTCCACTGGGGTAGGCAGCTCATCATGCTCTTCCCAAAGTTTGGCTGGAAATGTGGGTAGATGGGTCTGCTCTGTGTGATATGCTCCAGCAGCAAAGAATTCTCCATACTGGGAACTCCTTGGAATTTATTCATTTAATGGGCAGGACAAGGAAGCAGTGCATTTCTTGGAAGCTCTGGCTTTAGGCAGAGAACAGGATAGCTATGTGTGTCTGTGGATGGCAACTGACTGCTAAGCAAGTAGTGGATGCCGCACATTTTAAATAACGTGTTAAGAAACCTGCTCATCGGCATTAATCATGACCTAGGGGCTCCGTCCTGACTTAAGGGGGTAGGCGGAGCCAAGACGCCAGTTCCTGTGTTTCAGAGGTAAGTTTCTCTGTGGCTCACAGGCTAACTTATTTATTAACCATACCACTCAGTGCCACAAAACTAATCAACTACTTCACAGTTTCATCCATAATATAATAGATTCTGTCAAGCACTTTTCCAGAAAGACCCTCAGTGGCATCATTGCTCATTGCTATAATCCACTGAAGGCCTGGTCTTCCAACTTGCAAAATACCTTAACAGACTGTGAAGGCCTCCTTAGGTTATTAAATTATGGTGTTGCCAGTCCCTTGTTGTTTGTGTGTTTTAATTTTGTATCTGCACCTTAAGCAGAATTATCAGAAAGGGAGCAGTTGATAGATGGATTATATCAGCCTCTGTAACGAGGGAGCAGAGATTCTGTTCTCTGTTAACATCGCCGGCTGTCTTCTTCCTCCACCTGTGCCTCCTCTAGATTCCCAGTTAGAACTCAGAAACTAATGAGAAGAAACACACAGAGATCAGCTGGGGAGTTGGAACACATGGACATAACTAACGCCTACTCACAAGGCCCAGACATTAGACTCACTGTATTTACATATATGTGCTAGGTCATATATGTACACACACGCCTACATACACGGAGATTTAAAAACTGATGGGAAGACCGTAATTTTCTCTGGGTCAGCTCTCCTGACAGTCCTGTGGCCTTCCTGGCTTCCTTAAGGGGAGAAGCATTTGCTCAATAATGACATCCTGCTTTCTCTCAATATCCCTGAGCCTCAGTGGGTCCCGTCATCTCCTTCTCTGCTCAGAGAATGTTTCTGGCTTCCTGCTCTTACCTGCCTGACTCCATACAGCAACCATCTTGGTTGGCCATTTAACCTGTTTGGATCCTGACTACTCTAGATGCTCAATAATTAGGAACACATTTTTAAGTTAGGCTGCTTGAGGACAGAAATGCACCTATTAGAGCATGTAAAATGAAAGGGAAAGATTGAACATAGAAAGAGAAGGAAAGTTAAGAGTGCAGCGGAGTCACAGAGATCAAGGCCAAATGAAACAGAGAGAGTAGTTAGAACCCAGTGGTTCTCAAATTTACTCTGCATCACAATCACCTGTGGCCTCGTTCAAACCGATTGCTGGGGTACGCCCCACAGTTCCCAAGTCAGTAGATCTGAAGCGCTGCCGAGAATTTGTATTTCTAGCAAGTTCCCAGATGATGCTGGTGCTGTTGGTCCAGTGACCACACTCTAAGAATCACTGGCTTATCTGATGAGATCCTGAATTTCCATGATTCATCATCTTTCCTGTACTTGCAAGTCACTACCATCTATCACTCTCAATTTTATCCCAGCAATAGCCTGTCCAACAATCTGCTCCATGCAACCTCAGAAGAAGGGATCGGGCTCAGCTTCTGTAACCTAATCGTATTCTGTCACATGCTTCTGGTCTTCCTCAATCTCCCCATTTAGTCCTTCCCCAGATCCTTTCATCTCACCTCCATAAGAGAAACCTTTGGCTCCTTTTCCTGTGAGAAAGTGCGATGGCACTTGAAGTCTGCTGCAAAGGGAGTGAGAATCTGGATTTCCAGGTGGCTGCTTGGTGGAAATTGTTCCTTTCGAACAAGCCTAGAATAGGAAGCCTGCCCCTCTGACCAAAGAGGTGGAACCCAGAGGAGGATGTCTGATTTAAAAATAGAGTCCACCTTAGCAAAATCTCAACTGTCCTTAAGATCAAAGATTCTAAAAGGAATATGGGGCTTTATAGATCAACAGCAAGTATTTCACATCTGTGACTAATTTCTATGAGTAGCGAATGATTGCAATCAATGAGACAAATGTTGCTCCAGGAGGACAAACTGTAAAGAAAGGTTGGTGGTAAAAGGTTTTTGCTGTCCTCCCCACTGTTTCCTCCCTCTCCTAGAACCCAGCCCAAGACAGAGGATGGCTGCTTACTGTTTCGGGGTTTCTCCTCATCCATGCCTTCATCCTCGTTCTCAGGGTCGATGTCTTCTGCTTGGGTGATCCAGTCCAGGTAGCCTTTCAGATCCTCTTCCAGCTGCTGCTTCTCTCTCAGCTTTTGGAAATCTCCCCGAGCCTTGGCCTTCTCTCTCTCTTTAGAAAACTCTCTGGTGAGAGAGAGTGGAGTGGACAGGGCAGGGGAGCACAAGGAAGGAGGGAGCAGGTCAGCATGAAGGAATGATGGAGACAAGACGGAACAAAAGTATTAATTGCTATGCACTAGGAAGCCGCCCCCATGCCCCTACTTCCACAGACAGCTTTCTCTATTCATCCCAAGTTTTGTCTTTACTCTCACATAAATGGAAGGAGTCACTGAAGGAGAAGGATAAAATCCATTTCTTTTTTTCCTGGATCATGATCACAGGCTTTTCCTTCGATAACAACTGTTCTCCAATGACCTGGAAACTCCTTCAGAACACTAACTAAAAAACTTTCACAACAGTATGGTACATGCATTTTCATTTCCCTCAGTACTGGGTGGCAGCTGAAAAATCTAAAGAGCCTCTGGGTGACAAAAGGTGTTAGGAGCAGCAGTGTGCTGCAGCCTGCTCACCCGCAGTGGCTCCCGAGAGCCACCTGTGCATCTTACCAACTCTGGATTCAGAGGTGTCTCCTTGGTGGCTTGAAATTGGCCATGGTAGGAATATTTATACCATGGAAGTTGGAAATGTTATAAACCAGGGCTCCCCCCTCCTCAAATAAATAAATAAATAAATAAAAGAGCCAACTGTTAAATATTTAGCAGTACAACACTGAGTTAAGACCCAAGGGATTTAATTTTCTCTAACTCCATCCTCATGACTAGGGCTCATCCCACCACTCTTAGTTGCCTGGAAAGGTTTCTAATCTAGAGAAAGTTCTTCCCAAATGGAGACAAATGAGGATTCCAAACACAAGAAAATGTCCTAGGGCTGCCCTTTTGGTTAAAAAAGAAATCTAATCAGAATGGAAAAATACATAAAAATCAAGATAATATAAAGTTAAATGATGCATTCACCTTAAAGTAATAATGAGTAGAAACTGGAATTGAATTGGGGTTTGTAGGAAAAAGGGCCTATCGAAAAATTTCTGACAGAATGGCTATTTTGTTTTCTATCTCCTATGGTTCTGTTCTTATTTTCTTCCTGGCTTCAAATTCACTTTCTAAACAATGAGGGGGATGGCAGCAGAAGGCAATAATCAAGAAGGCTAGTTCTCAATTCTCAATTCTCAAAGCAAGTCTGTGCCTTTTCTTCCCAAATAGTATATAGGAGTATTTCTGTATTTGATATTCAGTCTGTGGGAAATGGAGCCCTCAGCGGGGTGTGTGTGTGTGACATGCATTGGGCATCTTGATTAATTTTCAAGGCATGATTTCTCCTTCTCTCACCAGTAAAGGTGTAGTTCAGGGAAGAAGGCTGCAAAAACCATCCTGAAGGAATTTCTTGCACAAGCCAATCCCTCTACAGGAAAGGCACCTTGGAAGGAAGGACATACCAATAAACCACAGGGGGACAAACCACAGGCTCCTGAATCCACTGTGATGTAGGGTGCTCTCTTACTATCCCACTGTATAGTATTTGCTAGTGCTGCTTAGGAGAGCACAGATTTTAGCGATAATGGGGTTGGGGCTGGGAGTGGTCTAGGGAACTTTTTAATTGGGAGATGTAGGGGCTCTCAAGATAACGAGTTCTCTTCAATTGCTGCCTTAATGATGCTCTGGTTTGGATGGAGTTTTCTTCTTAAATTTGATTGAATCCAATTCTAATTGGATTGAACTTGCTCTTTCTCAGGCTTCCTGCCAACTGGCAGGTACTTTCATTTCCTTCCTAGGATATTTAATGCCAGGGAAAAGGGGCCAGATTGACAGCTTGCAGTGAAGCTGGAAGCCTTGCTCTGCTTTGCCCCTCTCTCCTTTTGCTATTGGGGATAGGCATAAAAAGATGCCAGCCCACCTGCCCCCAAACCTGTATACCTGGTCACACTGCCCCTGGGCCATAGGCTTGCTCTCTGTAGATAGTCGCTTTATATAGCAGTTCCCTCTCCATGTGAATCAACTCCAAAACTGCACTTCAAGGCCCCCTCTCTTGACTCGCTTTCTGCCCACACACATGTGCATTCTCCATTCCTTGATTGTGGAGTGGGTTTGGGTTGTAAGGTGACTGAATAACTCTTTTGGAATCTTTTGCAGAAGGTTTAAGTTGTAATTATAAGACAACTACCCATCCCTCTTCTGGAGTTGGGAGAATAGGATTGGGATCAAATTGGAGTAGGGACAACTGACACAGTACTGTTATACCATCTACCCCATGGAATGAAAGCTTATCATCCATACCCCAAGACCTCTGGGGACCCAAAATAAACACTCACTGGGAGAAAAGGAAACTGAGGTGTGTTGAGGGTGTAAAGGGGATGGAAAAGTGGTAGAGTCAGATCTGAAGCCCTGTGGGTTCCCTTGGCTTCCAGGGAGCATAAGTTACAACCAGACCATGGTCAGATGGAAGGTGAGCCAGGTTTCCCTCTCCAGACCCTACTGCAGTAAGAGATTTTCTGGGTGGCAATGCCTAGCTCTCTCCATCTTCTTGCCTGGATGCCAGCCATGCACCTGCTCTGAGGGACTGAGCTAATGAAGACATGAAACCTCCGCCTGACGGGCTGTGCCGGGCCCAGGGACCGGAGCCGGCTAGACAATCAGTCACAGCTGTGGGATTTGTCATAAGGCAGGAGAATATCTCTTGCCAGCAATGGCCAACATAAAAAATGAGGGGTGGAGTGGAGAGCTGGGGGCCAGTACTCAGTAATGTAAAGCATGCAAAAGGAGATGCATGTGGAAAATCCAACCACTACAGACAGTTGGGGCTCTAGGCCCTCTGATAATCAATACAGTCGGTCCTCATTATTCAGATTCCATACTTGTAATTTGCCTACTTGCTAAAATTTATTTGTAACCCCTAAATCAATAACTTGTGTGACTTTGAAGTCATCTGCAGAAATTTGCAGAATGGCAAAACTGGAGTCACGTTCCCAGCTGAGGTCAGGTGATGTGATGCTCTGCCTTCTTGTTTCAGCTTTTAGATTATAAACAAACATCCTTTTTATGGTCTATTCAGTGCCATGTTTTTGCATTTTTGTGCTTTTGTTGGTGATTTTTCTGTTTAAAATGGCCCCTAAACATAGTGCCGAAGTGCTGTCTAGTGTTCCTCAGTGCAAGAAGGTTGTGATGTGCCTCACAGAGAAAATATGTGTGTTAAATGTGCTTCATTCAGGCATGAGTTACAGTGTCACTGGCTGTGAGTTCAGTGTTAATAAATCAAAAATGTATTTTAAATAAACTGTATTTAAACAGAAACACATATAATACAGGGTTATGCATTGATCATAACTCTATATTTCTCCTAAGAGCAATGGTTCACTATTCACTAATTCAGTGTCTGTGGTGACTTCCTAGAGTAATGAGAATTGACTATATATGTTGCTGTCTCTCCTGCTTCCACTCACAAGGCATGTATGTCCTGGCCTTTCTCTTGCTTCCCTCTGGACCTGGATATTGTGTCTTAACTGTGGTGTCATGGTCCAGCATGTTTACCAGTTGTAAAATGCCTACCCATCAGGCCCTTTGCTTTTGGGGAAGAGAGACATGCTCATCTCCCAGTGGGATGCCTACTCATCTAAGACATCTTGGGCCCCTTGTCAACTGAAGGCATATGTCTGAAGCCCTCAGTTTGCAATCACTTAAACACAAAAAGTAACTGGATTCCAGAGTCCAGGGACTTTCACCTGGTTACAGCTCCAAGCACAACTTTGAGAATCTCATCGTCACTGTTTTAATTCCGATGGGCAGGGCCTGAGTTTTCTAGAAGGGAAAGCAAATATAACCTGATTCATATCTTTACTAATACTAGTCTTGTGGCTTGTGAAGATCAATAGATAATGAACATGAAAGCACTTTGAAAAAATCCACAAGATATATATTGTTTACACTGACTGTATCTGGCATTGTCAGGAATACAGTGTTCTGGATATGTGAGTGTTCCACATAAAGAATGCTTAAAGCATCTTCTAATGACCAAAATTTCTAATTTCCATGTTCTAAATGGAAGTGTTATGCAGTGTCATCTTCATTACCTTCATGAGCATAATGCTATGAGCACAATTTAACATTTTCTTGGTGACTGAAGGATATAATTTATGAGGCTGAGTTACTGTGCTGGGCTGCAAAATAACATTATCCTTAATTGATGGCTATAGGTTTCATACCCCCAGCCCCAGAATGCTCCAAGCCTGCAGTGCTGTTGAGTTGGGGGCTCTGTTCTCTCTCAAGGACTATTAGGATTAGCAGGGCTGCCAGCCCCCATACTAAATGGCCCTGACCTACTGCAGCCTTCCAGTGGTGGCTCTGCAGTTTCCTCCTGGGACTCTTTCTGGTCCCGCTGGCTGTTTCTAGAAGCCTGCCATGAACCACTGCTGCTGCCTGCTCCTCTCATCCTTCCTTATGGCAGCTTCTGCTCTTCACCTCCCCACTTTTTGACTGTAATTTCAGAATGTGGGATTAACCAGCCACATGGGTTGGGGGTCAGTATAACATGGAGGTTAGGAATAGAGGTTATAAGTTCACACTGCTTGGGTTTAATCCTGGATCCTCCATTTTTCACCTGAGGTAGTTTCTTCATTGAAACCTCAATTTTCTTCTCTATAACATGGAGAAATGAATAGCACCTAGCTTGCAGGGTTGTTGTGAGCATTAAATGAGCTTATCCCCCTAAAGCTTTGAGCACAGAATCTGATGAAGAGGATACTGGTTACTGTTAATGTTATTACTTCGAAAGTGAATTTCATGGGGGCTCTGAGACATTTTTGAATGCTTCTGGAAGGTTGGCTTACTCAGGAGTCTGACTGATGAATAAGTGGGTGTTTTGCTATATTCTTGTGGTGACTATTATATTGTTGTCTGACTAATCAAGATGCTGATTCGAAACCAAAAGTGCTGCCACCATGTAGTCAGCCAATAGGAGCTTGAATCCAGGTTTTGTCACTTCAAGGACTCAGGGCAGCCCATTCAGAGTGGCCAGCCCTCTTGACAGATTAGGAGAGGGTTCCCCAAATCAGGAAAGGAAGATGTTTACCCACACACACTTCTTCATCTGGGCAGAGGGTGTTCCCAGGAAGTCTTGGGAAATGTTCTGTCGACAATTCTGGAGCTATTAGGAGCCAGCTGCCACTCTGGGAATGGGTCAGGAATCAGGTGCTTAGGAAAGTCTCCAGGAGACCAATATACGGACTCGAGGACTCACGGGGGCATATGTCTGAAAGTCTTAGTGTTCCTGTTCAGAGTCTACTAACGTTTTGAGCATTACTACATGCCAGGCTTTGGGCTTGGTGTTGTTACACACTCTCTCTCATTGGGACTGAGTTAGGCCAAGACATGGTCTTCAAAAGGACTTTACTTTCACATCAGCAGCTGCTGTCATTGGATATCTCTGCTTTAATACCACCAGGAAGATAACTCTTCTGGTGGGGCCAAGAATTACTGGGGCAGATACTCTGCTTGAGGAGGGGCCTTCATAGTCTAGTCCTCTCTCTCACATCAGATTCTGGAAGCAGGGGAAATACCACTTACTTAGATTTGTTTCTGCTCTCTAGGGGAAGAAAATGGAATCATTAGGACATTTTCTAAAAGTTCAGAGCTCTCACTTGTGTTATAGTTCAAGCTCATTCAACATACATCTAATGGGCAGTGATGGGAAGATGGGAGCCTGTTCTGATATTTACCTGCAAAATGACATCGTACAAGTCACTTAACACCTCTGGGCTTACTTCCTTCATCTTTAAAAGGAGGGTTGGAGTAGTTCTAATATATGATGATTTTATTCAATAATTCTAGTTATGATAGGCATCAAGTAAATAATAATCATTGTAATAACAGCATCATTACTGAGCACTTACTATATGCTAAGTATTTTACATAAATGATCTCATTCTATCATTACAGCAACCTATAAGTTAGTATTATTATCTTCATTTTTTCAGATGGATAACTAAAGTTTAAAAAGGTGAGTGTTGCCCAACATTATACATCCAGCAAGTGCAGAGCTGGGATATCCAAATTTCTGTCTTGAGTGGGGGTGATGAGGTTGATTTTTTTCAACGCTTTCCTTGTTGATTCACAGGGACATTTTCTCATGTTGGAACACAAATATGAAAACCCTTCCACCCTCCAGGCAACTAATCAGGGGCTTATGTCATCCTGATGGAAGACACTCGTTTCCTGTGTGGTCTTACCTTGGTAAGAGGCATGATGTCATCAAAGTCTCTAGCAGCCCACCCACCACGGGAAAGAATGAAGATGGAAGCAGAGTCCTTCACACAATTCAAAGACTAAACTTGATGCTCCTCCACAGCATTAGGCTATGGCAGGAGGGGGGATTGCTATTCTCAGTTTATTACTGACTAAAAATGAAGATCAATCTTACTCCTTAAGCTGAACTTTCTCCCAGCATTAACGTCCCCGGAGATCCAGGAAGGGCTATTCAAAGCAGCTGACCCGTCTTGAGCAGAGCAGAAATAGATCGCCACCCACCCTCTCCCCCCGACCTTGTAGCAAAGGCAGCAAAGAGTGTCACCCAGGAGCAGGTCACCAGGAGCATTTAGGTATTAGGCCTTGGCCTGGCTGGTATGGTGAAGAAGAAAGTGGGCTAAGTAAATATCCAATGCACCCCACGGTATAAAGGTGGCCATCCCCAGGGCTCCTCTACGCCCTGCACATCTGCTGCTTCTACTGGTTTATAACTTCATCTGAGCAAAGGCAAAAATTAGGTAGACTTTATACTTGTAGTCAAGTAGATAAATTGAAAGGAAAGTTTATTGCATTGCCCCTATCCTCACATAAACTAGGGCTTTAAACAGTTAAGTGCCCTTTCCATTCAGAAAAGTGGAGGAGACCAAACAGAGACTGCTCAGTGTATGAATTAGAGACAAAGAGAAGGATAGTTTTAGTCTGTATTTCTTATATATATTAAGTCAAACTCTGGTTCAACACTGAATAAAGGCTTTCTGAATCTTCACTGTGAGCCTGCCACACAAACTGTGACTGGCTTGGGAGGTCAGGCAAGTACTTATCTGCAAGGTTGCTGCATATATTGAAAGCACACAGTCTACGAATTTTCCCAATTCCAGCTGCCAAAACCTTCCCACTCCATGGTCTCACCATGCTACTCCTCAGGTGCAAGAAGCATCCTGCCTACCTGAGCAGCTGCTTAATGGAGGGAGGGGCTTGGATGAGCTGGCAGGAGACAGGCGGGCCTCAGTATCTCTTGGTGAAGCCCAAACCAGTGGATTAAGCCTTGCATGTTTGACCCTCTGCCCAGCCAGGCCAAGGACATTCACTTCAAGGCTCCTGAGGTGGCCCTTTATCCCAGGTTCATCAGAGCCAGAAAAAGAATAAAGCCAGGAATAGCAGAAAGAATAAATAAAATAAACGGAAAAATCAAGACCTTTTTCCTTGGTCCTGCTTACCCGCTAAGGACACCGAGAACCAAGTTAAGTACAAAAAATGACCCTATGATGATAAGTGTAACAAAATAGATCCAGGGCCAGTCCCTTCCTACGGCATCATTGACCTGGAAGAACGGAATGATAGTTAGTGAGGCACACGCAGCAGCTGAGCACGGCCCAGAGCCCATCGCCGGCTCCAGACACTGACCCACGCAACGCTGGGACCCCGATCCTCCAGGTGCAAATCAGAGGCCAAACAGCCTGCCAGCCAATGGGTCAGAATTTGTGGTTGAATGGAGACTTTTCCCCCTGGTTTTCCTGGGCCTCTTAGGATCCCATCCCTGAGGATGTTGGCAATGGATGGAGTGGAACCTGGGACCTTGCTCGGCTGCATTATAAAGAGGACATAGAAATGGTCAGCTTACCCGCTCAACACACCGAGAACCAGATTTAGAACGAAAAAGGATCCAAAGATGACCAGACTGACAAAATACACCCAGGGTAACTCATAGCCCATAGCGTCCTGCATCTGGAAAGATGAAGGAAAGTTAGGAAAGAGAGAAAGCAGTACTGAGTCAAAGTGAGGAGGCAAGTAGAGAGGGGAGTGGAGAGAATCTGGAGGAGACAAATGGGATTGAATTTGGTTTTTGTCTGCATGGATCGGGAATCCATTGCTATTCCGGCATCATCTATATTCAGAACAGTTCCCAAGACCTTGACCTGAACTGTCAGAGACCTTTGTTTTATTTTCCGGAAGAGAAAACTTTCCCCAATGTTTTCTATTCAGTGTTGTCTAAGAAGGTAGGTAGCCTCAAAAAATAATTTCTTCAGCAAGGGATGTTTTAGCTCACTTGGGTTTATGTGGCATTAAATCTTCCATTGCACCCTGAGATTACTGTCAGAAGTGCCTCAGCTCTTACTGCTAGAACAGGAGAACCGGAACCTTCAAGGATGTGGGAGAAGGAGATATTCCTAAGTGGCTTGCCACCTGGACCTGAGCTGGGCCCAGAATTTAGAGGTCAAACTCCAGGGCTTCATAAACACTGCAGGCCATGGGAAGGAAAGATGGTCATGTTGGTTTATGTATTCAGAGAAGGCTCCTGTGACTGTAACCACAACCTAGATGGAAATGGTCCTGAACCTGGAAACTGTGACCTGTAACTAACTGGCTAAGGAGACACTCCATGAGGAGCTGCAAAGCTCTAGAGTAGTTGGAAGCAATGATGTACAGAGATGGCTCCTATACACATGGGAGAGCCATGTGCATCTCCTCCCAACTCCATGTTCAGTGACTTCACGATGGGCTTGAAATTGGCCATGGTGGACAGAAATGGGTAAATGATACAGATCAGTCCCCTTCTACACTGGGTCCCTAACAACTGGTTGTCAAACATTTACCAGCACACCACAGGTTAGTGGGTAGATGTGAGATGACGGCAGGTCACAGAGCAGCATTTTTATCAAATAGAAAATTTATTCTGATTAAGTTTCTCAAATCTATTTCTTTTTATGCTTTCTAACTAGATTAAAGGGTTTAGTCCTATTTTCCAAAACTGAACTCCATCTTTGTCTTTGCGGACAAAGACAGCTTACAGGAATCCAAATTCCTAAGTACACAAGCTTCTTGAATGAGTTACATCAGTGGTTCTCTGAGTGGGGTCCTGTGGACCAGCGGCACCAGTATCAGCTGGAACTTTTTTTTGAAATGTAATACTTGGGCCCCCTCCTGAAACTCTGGGGCTGGGCCCAACAACCCCTCTGAACTCCATCTTTGTCTTTGCGGACAAAGACAGCTTACAGGAATCCAAATTCCTAAGTACACAAGCTTCTTAAATGAGTTACATCAGTGGTTCTCTGAGTGGGGTCCTGTGGACCAGCGGCACCAGTATCAGCTGGAACTTTTTTTGAAATGTACATACTTGGGCCCCCTCCTGAAACTCTGGGGCTGGGCCCAACAACCCATGTTTTCTCGAGCCTCCAGGTGAGTCTGATGCATGTGAAGGTCTCAGAACTCCCTGATTTACATAATTTTCTCCATAGCTCCCAACTTCAAATATAAGGACATAGCAAATATTGTGATTTACCACACACCTTTGCTATGGTGAACAGCAGTGCACCTCAGAGAGGGGTCCAGAGACCAACAACACCAGAACTATCAGGAGAGTTATAAACAGTGCAGATTCCTGGACCCTTCCCCAAGAACCCAATGAGCCTCATAACTCTGCATGTTAATCACTCAGGTGATTCTAAAGCAGGCTGAAGTTTGCTGATTACTGCCAGGTGTCTCAGGTGAGGTCCAGGTGTGCAGGGATACGGCCACCCTCAGCCCTCAGGGCCCCTCAGGCTCTGGGAGACCTCACCCATGTTTCTAAGTGTGCTGGAAAAATATGTTCTTTGTGTGCTGTGAACTAAAAAAAATCACAAGTGACCTACCTGGTCACTGGTTAGAATCTTTACATCCCAATATATTATTTGCAAATCTATTAATATTTTTCTAGGGTCACTATATTTTGGTTAGAGGAATCAACCAAATGTACTTATAGTGCAGAGTACAAAAACTGTCAAGGGCTTGGGCTTCATTGATCAGAACTGAGTCAGGGAAGAGAAGAATTCCCAACCTATGTCCACTTAGCCATGTTATAATTAAATTCAATTTAACATGAATTTATTGAGCATTCCTACTCCCACATACCCTGCTCTGCTTTTTATATAGTGCTTATCACTTTCTAACTGTATAATTTACTCATTTATTTTGTGTTTGTTTTCCATACTAGAATGTAAGCTCCATGAGGATGGGCACTTTTGGTCTGTTTTGTTCACTGGTGTATTCCAAGTGCTTAGAACAATGCCTTGTACGTGACAGACGCTCAGTAAATGTTTGTTGAGTGAATTAATGGACTTGATATATACCAGGCACTGTGCTGTAAAGAGGAAGCCCTTGCTGGTAGGGGGGACAGTAAATTAAAGGCAATCATAATACAAGATGGTAAATGTAGTTGTAGAAGTAAACATGCAGGGTTATAGAAGCCCAAAGGGGGCATTGGCTGTATGAAGCAGAAGAAGCAAGGGCTAGGCCAGTCAGGACAGGGTAAACCTGGCACTGTGGGGCCACTGAGGGCACAAGGAGGACAAAAGTAGGCAGGAAGCCCAGATGCCAGGTGATCCTGTGATGGGGCTTTCCTAGAAACTTGGCAATTGTGAAAAATAGCCTACAGCTGTACAGCCATCATGGCTCTGGGACAGAGGATTTTCCCATAGGCCGACCACTAAAATATCCAGCAGAACAGCAGTTGTGCAGAGTGACAGGGCAGAGAGGTCCATGTGTGTCAGAGCCTGACCCCACCACAGGGAGCCTAGGAGCCTCCTTTAACCGGAAGATAATTATCTGAACCAAGGCTGCAAAGGACACCAAACCAGCAGGGGGAAGTCTAGTAAATGCCTTCAGTACCAGGAAGAGAAAAACAAAATGACACCAATATAAGAAGGGACAGGTTGGGTGAAATGAGATTAGGGAGGAGAAAGGTGTGGGAGCCATAGTGAGCTAGCCAACCACAGGCCACATAACAATGGCCACGCTGGCCATGTGATACCAGGGTCTGTATGTCACATTTTATTATGCGAACTGTGACATAACCCTTCCATTATTCTTGGCAGCAGTCTTGTTAGAGCCCATGATTGCTCAACAGTATTTACGGAGTGCCCATTGTGTATATGACATTGTGTTCTGTGCCACAGTGAAGGTGACGGGGCTGGAAACAGCCCTGAGATGTGAGAAGGCATCCACAGGGAGGCTTCTATGGAAACCTGGATCCAAGGTCACGTGAAGCCTTCGAGTGTCCTCTCTCTCCTCTCTCAGATCAAATCCTGCCAATGAAGGTCAGAAGAGGTCCCTTCCTCTTTCCTAAGTTGGTGCTCTTTGCTCTTTTGGGAGGGTGGGGAAGTCAGGAAAAGCCGAAGAAAGCTGTGGGCTCCCACCAGAGAAAAGGCACAGGCACACAGCGCTGTGCACACAACTCACAGGTGTGCTGGGCCTGTGGTGGACCAGCCAGCTTGTTGTGTGCTAACCCCAGGGAAGCGCTTCCCCAAGCATGGTTAGGGGGTCCAGAGCTGCAGAGGGGGTCTATTCTGAGCAAGTTCCCTTGCTCTGCCTGGATGGCAGACCTCCTCACCTTCCTCAAGACACAGCTGGGAACATGCAGTTCCAGGAAGAGATGACATGCTCAGTGCAGTTCACTGTTATAGAGCTGCCTCCAGAGCCTGGGCAGATGGTGAGTGGGAGGGAGGGCTGGTTGACTCTTTGAAATGAAATTTCTCCTGACTGCTCCTCATACCCCCTAAATTTTGTGAACACTCAACCTTGAAGAAAATATAGCCCTCCAGTCCACAAATCTCTGATGGGCCAACAACCCACGAGCCTTGATCTCCTTGGGCCCTTGTTTAGTTTGGGTGTTCTTTCCTCTGTGCCACACAAAAGGTGAGTGACTTCCATAATCACTGAAAACTTCAAATGGATGGAGCTACAGACCACATGACTCATAGATAGCTCATAGATAGCCTCGTGACACACCGATATCCCACAGCCAGGGACCATTTCCAGGAGACTCATAGTCTCCACCTAGCCCATGCTGTCCCATGTTTCTGCTTTGGTTTCTTCTTTGGCTGTGGGATAGTTCTTGCAGAGGTTCAAGACGAGGAGTAGGAGGTGAAGGGTAGGAGACGGGACAAATGAGAGATTAGTGAGCTTCTGAGGTAGCCCTAAGACTACATCGCTCCCTCAGTAAGCAATGCTCAGCAGCCACCAGAGGGTGATTCTTTGGTCTGCCTGGCTCTGGCCTGAGAGGAAAGTGCTCCTTTTGTTTTCCCTCCTGCTTTCTCTTCTTTATTCTAGGCCACCTAATTTTGGAGGCAGACTGGGTAGATAGCACACAATGCTGGGTGGCTCTGAAGTAGGGCAATGCCTGGAGTGATGAGATTGATGTCTTAAATCAGCTGGAATGAAGCTATTAAGAAGAGAATGAATAAATACAGTCATATTTTCAAAAATTGACCCAGATGGCTGACACCCTTATTTAGAGGTGAAAAAAGGATAGGTCTTCTCTAACCATGAAAGCTAGATGTTTCTTAG